ATGCGGAGGTTGACCCTGACCAGCCAGGCCTGGGCCATATGCGGAGGCTGACCCTGACCAGCCAGGCCTGGGCTCCTAGCTGACTCATTAGACAGTCTTCAATGCCTGTTCAAATGCAGACTCACCAGTCCTGAAATGCTCTGCATGGAAGGCTCCAGGTTCTGAGCTCCCGTAACTAGACTCAGACACTGCAAAGCTCCAGGGCTGGATTTCCATGAGGCTAAAGTTTTGGGGAGGTCACTCCCACGGGCAGGGAGCTCGTCCTGCTTTGCTCAGTATCGCATTCCCTACCTCTAGAATAGGGGCTGGCACGGGACACTTGCCTGATAACACCTGGGAAAGCAATGAGTGGATGGAGGAAGAAGCGAACCCCAGCTGCTACTACTCAGCATGTCAGCACTGGGTTCCCATCTGCACCTGAGGTTCCAGACCCTGAGCACCTGATTCCGTGTTCCAGGAGTCAATGGGTCAGGGAGAGACTCCCCCAGAACGAAGGCCCCCACCCCCTCTCTGCTGCACCTCACCTGTCCAGGGCCCACATAGCTGCAGAGGGCGTCGGCGTGGCAGCCACCTCTCGTGTCCAGCTCACACTCGTCAATAGCCACACAGACGTGGCCATCCCCACTCCAGCCTTTGTGGCATGTGCAGTTGTGGGTGCCCCGGGCCCCAGGGACACACTCAGCCTGTGAGAGCCAAGGATAAATAATTCAGGGATATAGGGATGTAGCCAGAGGGCCAGGGCATCCCACCTCCTGCCTCTGAGTCAGAACTTCAGGGAAGGAGCAAGGGGACTGACATTCTCTGAGCAGCCACCACGGTCCGGGTGGGAGCAGGGGTTGCTGGGTGTGCAGGAGAAGCCATTGCCCTCAAAGCCATCAAGACAGCGACACCTGGGGGTGGGCGAAGGAGGGGCCTCCAGTGAGCCTCAGGAGGGGGCTAGAGCCTACAGACAGGTGTGAAAGGTCACGGGTGGGGCAGAGAGAAGGTGTGAGTTCTCACCTGGCAAAGCCCCCCTGGGTGACACAGTGGGCATGCAGGTGGCAGTGCACGGCCATCTCTATGGGCCCGCAGTACCTCACGGTCTCATTGCAGAAGTGGCCACTGAAGCCAGGGGCACACGTGCCCTGCTGGCACACCCCCCCACTGCCTGGACGGTTGTCGCAGAGACCATGGACACAGCCGCAGTCTGTAGGTAGTAGATGGGAGCAGGGCAGCTGAGGAGCAGGAGGCAGGGCTGGCTGGACGGGCTTGGGGGGTACAGGGAGTAGGGCAGCCAGTACAGATCGGACTTCAGGGTCGAAAAATCAGAGGTTTTCTCAGACTCGATAGGCAGATGAAATGTGAGGGGAGCATTCTGAGCTTTCAGTCACCCCATTCTAGTTGCCTTGATCCCGACACCACCATCAGGAAGTTCTTCAGTGTGTCTGACCTAAGTCCTACATACTTTAAGCCACAATTCCCTTCCTGGAATGGGTGAAGGGGACAGCATCTCCTTCTGTTCTCAAATCTTCTTCTATTCCCTCTGGCCTTCATTCCTCCTCCTGGGACCTCATTTCCCTTCTTGGGAGCCCCCAGACCCATTTTCAAGCAGACCTTTTTTCTCCCTAGGAGGTGGCTTGGGCCAGGACAACCCACCTTCCTGGCACTGATCTCCATGCTTGTTTGGGTTGGAGCAGATGTGGCAGGCAATGCCCTTGTAGTCTGGGAAGCAGAGGCAGGCCCCGTTGCCCTGGATCCCATCACTGCACTAGAGAGTGAGCAGGAGGCAGGATTAGTCATGGGGAAGGGACTCTCTACATTCCCTCTCCCAACACTCCCTCCTTTCATGAGCTGGCTCTGACGCTCCCCATGAGAACTCATCCTGGAAGCGCTCTTCCAAATCACTGATGCTGCCAAAGACCTAGCCCCTAAAAGGCACCTTGCCCTGGAGGCTTTATGAGTGACATTTGCTCAATCCAGAAACACATAACTCCTGTGTTCTTCTATAGCCAGGTGCTAAAGCGACCCTGATATTACAAAGTGATAAAAACAGAACACAAAAGGAAACTACTGCCAAGTAGCTTTTTGGAAATAAAGCTAAATTTTTTTGCCAAAAAAAATCTATCTAATTATTATTATTATTATTACTTGAGATGGACTCTCACTCTGTTGCCTAGGATGGAGTATAGTGGGGCAATCTCAGCTCACTGCAACCTCCACCTCCTGGCTTCAAGTGAGTCTCTTGCGTCAGCCTCCCAAGTAGCTGTGTCATAACACCAGGCTAATTTTTGTATTAGTAGAGATAGGGTTTTGCCATGTTGGCCAGGCTGGTCTTGAACTCCTGACCTCAAGTGATCCACCCACCTTGGCCTCCCAAAGTGCTGGGATTACAAGGGTGAGCCTCTCTAATTACTATTATTATTATTTAGTTTTTCTTTTATGCCCATGTTTCAGAGGAGCCTCTCTAATTATTTTTAATTAAAATAGAAATAATTTGATTCAACTTTCCAATGCCTAGATGTGAGGACCCCAAGGCCAGAGCGTGGCAGGCTTGACCCAGACACACAGCCAGTCAATGGCCAACTTGTGAAGGCGTCCCTGCCTTCCCCATTCCTCACCCCAGGAGAGGATGGGACTCACGTTGCCCTTGCCGTAGCAGGGGCTGGAGAAGCCCCCAGGACACTGCGTGCAGTCAGGCCCGAAGAAACCTTTGCAGCAGCCTTGTTTCTGGAAGAGACAGCAAGTCCAAGAGGCCATCTGGGGCCATGCCCTCCCTGACACCATCTCCAGAGCAAGGGAGTGGATGTGGTTTCTCTGGGCCCCCCTTTTCCACTGTTAGGCTGCAGTCACCCATCCAGCCCCAGCTTGGGGGCCCCTGAGGAGCAGCAGGTGCCAAGGTGACTATGGAGCGGGCACCCGGGCTCAGGCTCACCATGATGGTTTGGTTGCAGTAGCTGGCACAGCCCTTCTTTAGCACATTGAGCCCAGCTGGGTCATGGATGTAGACACACTCCTTGGGTAAGATGTCCTAGGTGGGCCGTGCAAAGCCAGTCAGCAGCTGTGGCTCCTGGGCCAGCCCCTTTGCTAGGCAGCCCTGGTCAAGGATCCTCTGCTCCCTGGGTCCAGAGCTCCCACCTAGACCAGTGGGGCTGGGCAGCACTGAGCCTCCAGGTCTGGTCTCGTCCCCCAGCCTCTGCTTCTCCCACCCACCCCCTTGACCCAGGGCAGAAACCTCGACAGGCAGTCAGGAGGCCCTGAGGGCTGGGCCAAGGGGTGCTCACCAGTTTCACACTGTTGAGGGGGCACGTGCTAGTGTTCAGGGCTTGGCAGTCCACACAGGAGCCCTGGGCAGGGCAGGGGCAGGATGGGGAGAGGGGTTAGTCATTATTTACTTGGCAAACCCAGAGAAGGGAACATTGAATGGGAATTAAGGGATGAGAAGAGTAAACCACAGGAATCCCAGGGCTGGCGTTTCAGGCAAGGGAGAGCAGGGGAGAGCAGGGGCAGGGGAGAGCAGGGGAGAGCAGGGGCAGGGCCCTGAGCTGGGGAGAGCTAGCATCTCTGGAAAACAACAGAGACCAGAGGCAGGCACAGAGTGAGTGAAAGGGAACAGAGTGGTGGAGGATGCAAGAGTTATCTCAGCCAGGCGCAGTGGCTCACGCCTGTAATCCCAGCACTTTGGGAGGCCGAGGTAGGCAGACCAGCTGAGGTCAGGAGTTTGAGACCAGCCTGCCAACATGGTGAAACCACATCTCTACTAAAAATACAAAAATTAGCCAGGCGTGGTGGTGGACGCTGTAGTCCCAGCTACTCAGGAGGCGGAGAGAGGAGAATCTCTTGAACCAGGATTCTGAGATTGCAGTGAGTTGGGCTTGTGCCACTGCACTCCAGCCTGGGCAACAGAGCAAGACCCTCCCTCAAAAAAAAAATTATCTCAGAGGTGGAATCATAGTCCCAGTGAGTGTGAGGGTGAGGGTGAGGGTGAGTGTGGGGGAAGCACAGGTGGGCCCCTGGGAGCCTGCCGGCAGTGTCTCAGAACTGGCGTTAGCCCAGCACTGACTTGGAGCCTCTCCCTGGGAAGAGGATCAGCTGCTGCAGCGCTGGGCGGGGCAGGAGGGGTGGGAGGGGTTAGTGAGCAGGGCCCTGGCTGTGCAGGCGAGGCTCACCACCACGATCTTGTGCTGCTCCTCGCTGCAGTGCTTGGGCAGGATGGGCAGGATGGTCGGGGGCAGCAGGATGCCATCCAGCATGTGGATCACACCATTGGAGGCCAGCAGGTCCACCCTCTGCAGCGGGACCCCCTCAGGTCCCAGCAGGATGCGGCCCTGTGGCAGAGACCCATGGCGCCAACGCCCGGCCCAGCTGACCTCGGCCGAGTGGGGCTGCCCACCTCCACCCCTGCAGCCCAGTTAGAGCAGGCAGCTCAGTGAGATGCTGAAGGCCCCGCCCACTGTGCCAGCCACCTCTCCCTCAGCTCTGGCCAACGACACTCCTCCAGCCCCGGGAAACTTACCTACATGGCTTCTGCCACAGGGAGCCCTACCGTGTGTCCCATGCTCCTCTTTGGAGTCCTCCCCCTTAACCCCCATTGGGCCGCGGCAGAGGAATTTGATCCCTGCCTCCTTCCTTCCCCATGACCCCACCAGGGCCCAGCAGTGTCCTGCCTACCACAGGGCTTGGAGCACACAGGGCTGAGAGGCCAAGTGGGCAGCTGGTCACCGCCAGCCCCACCATCCACCCAGGTGTCCGTGTGCCTCACCTCCTCAGAGATGTTCACGGCCAGGACCTGGTTGGCCATGGTGAGGATCCGGCCCTTGGAGATGAGCTTCTCAACGGTCAGCTGGGGTGAGGGAGACTGTGGCATTAGGCTGGCCTCTGGCCACACCTTGGGGCCATACCCGGTCCTGTCCAGGAGGCTCACAGCCACCCCCTTTGTCCCCAGGCTCTGCTCTGTGCTACAGCAGAACAGATGGGAAGGGGAGAGGAGGGGAGGGGAGGGGAGGGGAAGAGATGCAGCCCCACTGGGTGCAAGCTGGGCGCCCCCCAGAGACAGGCCTCGCACCTGGCCGTGGTTATAGACGTGGTACCGCACCAACTCCTGCAGTTTGGAGAGACCCTGGCAGGGGACAGAGGGTTTGGCTCCCAGAGGCCCTGTGGGGGGGCGTGGAGGCTCTGGTACCCCCATACCCACAGCCCCTTCTCCCACCGAGCTTACTGTTGTGAAGAGGTAGATCAGGCGGCCGTCACGCAAGCTGTCCACAGCCTCATTGCTTGGGGCAAAGACTGTGAAGGGCCCAGGTCCGTCCAGGATGGAGGGCAGCCCACAGTTCTGTGGCAGTGCAAGGGAGGCTCAGGGGGCTGCATGGCCAGCCTCCATCTCTGAGTCCTGCCTGGGCCCTGCCACCTTTGGCCTGCAGGAAACTCCCACTGAGTAAAGTGGGAGACATGGGTAATGGGTCCATGTTACTGCAGAACCTCAGACTTGAGGATGGGACGTGGGCAGAGGCCATGCTACTTCAGAGCCCCAGGTCACTATGGAGCAGATTCTGGGACAATGAGTCCTGGCCCAGAAGCCCAGAAGCCCAGATGGGCTAGGGCCCCTCCCCCCAGCTCACCTCCAGGATGGTTTCAAAGCGGCTGAAGACCTCTGTAGAGGCGAGGATCTGACTGATAGTTTTCTGTAAGGAGGGATGAGGCTGCTTCAGCCCAGGGGGAAGAAGCTGTGCTCCAGCCCTGAGCAGAATGGCTCCTGCCCACTCCCTGCTCTCCGCAGGGGTCTGAGGTCACCCAGCAGCACAGGGGAGGGGAGGGGAGGATGCTGGCTCACCTTGGGATCCCCCGAGATCCCAGAGGGGGGCTGCCACCGCAGGGCAGTGACCACGTGGAAGATGCCATTGGCTGCTACGTTGTTGGGCTTGTAGATGTTGAATGTCTGCTGGGGCTGGTCTTTGTACTTGTAAGAGTATTTCTGAGAAGACACAAGAGGTCTGGCCAGATCCCATAGGCCAGCCCCCTGTCCTGAGGCTCCCTTCCACCTGCACACCCTTGCCAGGCCGTGACTCCTGTTGTCCCTAGGCTGAGCCTCCTCCCTCACCGTGAATTGGTTGAAGGCGACAGTGATCTCCTGCCCAGCCAGCGTCCACCACCTTCGTGTTTGTTGGGACTTCGTGTCCTCCAAGATGTGCTGCCCTGCGATGATGTGCTGTCGGCAGAGCTGCTGGGCGAGGGATGCCTGCAGACACAAGGCAGGGAGCCAAGTGAGCCGGGGTGGGGGGCCGGTCCTCTTCACGTCACCCCTACTCAAGCAATGTGGGGGACAGGATGCCTCCCAGTCTCTGATGCCTCCCAGGTTCTCAGGCCTTGAAGACTGGGCTGTATCCAGGGGAGGAGGCAAGGGCCGGGGGCCAGCTCTGCCAGGGGGAGGGGCTCACGTTCATGGTCCTGGAGGAGGAGAAGGGTATGGACGGCACCAGCACGGTGAACGGGCCTGCTGTGGTGAGGATCTCCCGGCAGCCCTGGTCTGGGGGCAGGGCGAGGGAGCATCAGAGGGGAGCTGGGGAGACCCTGGGGGTCTCAGAAGACCCTCAGGCATCTGTCCTAGGGTGGGGGACTTGGGGTCGGGTATTCGGCCTAGATTTAGGGTAGATGGGGGCCTCAGGGTTGGAGGGCAGCTCCCACCTGCCGTGTGCACCCCCATAGCCCGCTGTTTGTTCCTACAGCTCTGGGGAAACCTGCAGAGGCAGCCCCTCCCTCCGTGCCAGCTGTGCTGGGAGTGAGGGGTAGGTCATGGGCAGGCAGTGGGGTCACGCACCCATCATGGCCATGGCGACCCTCAGCTGCAGGAACACCCGGCCTGTCTGCATGGCCTTCTGCACCTCCTGGAGCAGGTGTCCGTAGCAGGCACGCCCATCCCCCACCTCGCCCTGCTTGCACACACAGCTGGGAGCCCAGGGAGAGTCAGTCAGGCCAGAGGCTGTGCCCCCCAGCTCCTCCCCCCCACGCCTCCCCACAGGGGGCACACTTGTCCAACCCACTGTCTCTGCTCTGAGGCCCCCCTACCCCTCACACCCCCATGCTTACCTGGTCTTCCCATCAGCGGTCACCTGGCAGGTGGCTGACCGGTCGCAGGAATAGGGGGAGCAGAAGGCTTGGCAGCCCCCAGAGGCATTGCTTTTGATGCTGACCAGGCCTGACCGGCAGATGCAGGAAGCCTGGCCCCCGACAGGGAGGGAGGGGAATACCACGTCCAGCCCCGAGAACCACGAGCGTCTGCCCTACCCACAGAGCCCTGCTCAGTCCCTCCCCGAAGAGGACCGTCATCCTCCCCCCATTTTACAAATGGGGAAAAGGAGGCTCCCAGAAGGCCCGTGACTTGCCCAGGGCCCCTCAGCCAGTGTGAGTGGGTACACTGTGGGGGCAGTTCCAGCCTGGGACCCTGGCTCACCTGGCCTGGCTTCTGGTACACACACAAGGTAGAGTTGCTGGGGCAGCCAGCAAGGTTGTCGGTGCACGGGTCCTTGGGCAGACACACCATCCCGTCGCCATGGTAGTTCTCAGGACAATGACACTGAGCTTGCCCCGTGGGGCTTACTGAGCACTGGGCCAGCGGTGAGCAGGGTAATAGCCAGCAGGGGTTGGGGGCTGCCAGCGCAGAGAGAGAACCCAAGTGAGCCAAACACCCAGGAGCCCTGTCTCCACCACAGCTTCCACTGAGGGCCAGCCAAGGCTGACCCAGACCTTGAAGATAGGCTCCCCTTAGGGATGGCTCTCCCTCCCTGTGAATTACATTGTACCTGCTGGGTTGAAGGATGCTCTCTCAGACCCTGTCCACCCTGAACTGAAGTCCCTGGCTTCTGAGTCCAGGCTCACCTTGGCATTCACTGCCTTGCTGCGTGTAGCCGGGCAGGCACCTACAGCTGGGGGCCTCTGCAGAGCACTGGGTGTTCTGGGGACAGCGCAGCTTCTGGCAGATGGGCAGCTCTGAGCAGAGGGGAGAGAGCACCGATGGGCCCAAGCCCAGACTGGGGAGGAACACAGGGGCAAAGGGGCCCTGCCTGTTCTGTGTGACTTGGAGCAGGCCCTGCCCTTGCTGGGCCTCTGGACAGTGGGCATCTCAGATGACACCCCTTCCCCAACAAGGCTGCAGGCAGAGGTCCTGCTGAGGCTTGGGCCCCATCCTCAACCAGTCGGCCTCTTTTGCTCAGGCCATGGGGGACCTGCTGCCCCAGGCTGTCCCAGTGGCACTGCTCACCTTGATCACAGTGGGGGCCAGTGTATCCAGCAAAGCACCGGCAGCTTCCATCTCCACGTGGCCCATGGTTGCACACGCCGTGCACACAGCTGCACACTGGGAGGGACACACAGAGACAGATGAGACCCCAGCCTCACCCAGGCACCCATCGGAATGTTGGGTCCCTGCTCTCTGTATTTTTAGAACTCAGTTCAGGCAGGTACAGAGCTGAGTACAGAGTATAGAGCTGTACTTAAGAGTACAGAGCTGTGGGCCGGGTACTGTGGCTCATGCCTGTAATCCCAGCACTTTGGGAGGCCAAGGCAGGCAGGGGGGTCACAAGGTCAAGAGATCTAGACCATCCTGGCCAACATAGTGAAACCCTTTCTCTACTAAAAAAACACGAAAAATCAGCTGGGAGTGGTGGCACATGCCTGTAGTCCCAGCTACTCTGGAGGCTGAGGCAGGAAAATCGCTTGAACCGGGAGGCAGAGGTTGCGGTGAGCCGAGATTGCACCACTGCACTCTAGCCTGGCGACAGAGCAAGACTCCGTCTCAAAAAAAAAAAAAAAAAAAAATAGAGCACAGGGCTGTGATGCAGGACCACAGAGGTGGTGGGAGCCCAACCTGGGGCTTCCTGGGGAAGGCCTCTCAGGGCAGCAGCATGTGCAAAGGGCTGGGGGTGTGACAAAGCAAAGCACATGTTCCTGAAAGGGACATGCAAGGCTGAGGACCTGGCATAGAGGCTGAAGGGACAGGTGGGAGCCAGTTGCAGGGACTGCATCCCCATGGGTCCCCAGGTGGGTGCTGCCCTCCCCTCCTGCCTTGCAAGCACTCACCCGATTGGCAGTCAGGCCCGAACCGGTTGGGGTCTTGGCACTCCTGGCAGGCTGAGCCACGGAAGTTTTCCTGGTAGTGGATGCAGTGAGTCAGCGTGGCCCCTCCGAGCCTCCAGCCCACCCTGCCCAGCCCTTACCTGGCACACACAGGTCCCATTCCTTTCTATGCCATCCAAGCAGGTCCCGTGGCCATTGCATGGGGTCTGGGCACCGCCAGGGCATTCTGTGGACCCGGCAGAACTCAGCTCTGTGACCAGAACCCAAGCCCAGACACGGCCCCTCCTCCAGGGCAGCAAGAGTGAGGGGGCTGAGCCGGGGAGGTGCTCCGTGAATGTTCATGAAATGAACAAGTTGAAGGGGAATGCAGGTAGCTCCTGCAGAGGGCTTCCCCAGAGCTGGGGGTGGGTGTGAGGAGCAAGGCGGGTCCCCCTTTCACCCATACCATAGCACTGGGAGCCCCAGTAGCCAGGGCAGCAGGCCTTCTCCACCATGTACTTCCGGCACTTCCGTCTGCAGCCGCTCATGGACACCATAGAGCCCCCCAGCTGTACTTCGTAGCTGGAAGCAGAGGGTGGGTGGGGTGAGGGGAAAGGCTCCCATCCACAGCCCCCCAAGCCTCCCCACATTGGCTTCCGGGGCTCCCCCACACCTGCTCTTCCTGGCCCAGAGGTGAGCACAGGGCGTAGCACATAGCAGGTGCCCCATAAAGCCCTCCTGTCCCCTCCCTTTACCCCTTCCTCCCCGCCTGTCTCTGCCACCCAGGAGGGGCCTCTGGGGCATGGATAAGTGAGTGCCTGTCCTCATGTTGTAGGTCTGTCAGGCTCCCCCAGCCTCTGCCACCCCACAGGACGCTCCTGAACACGGGTAAGTGGGGGGGTGGCCCGCACCGGCAGTCCTGGGCTATCTGATCCGGGAGCTCCCGAAGCCAGCCTGGAGGACACGTCTGCTTCTTGACGGCCGCGCACGAGGTGCAGGGTACATGAGTGGCAAGCGTGGTTTTCACATCACAGCGTTTGGACAGCCCCTGGGCCACAGTCGGGATGTGGTCAGGGGCCTGGACTCCGCACCCAGCCCCAACTCTGTCCTTATTGCGGCCAGGCCTCATACCCCTCCAGCCGCGGCTTCCCATGTGCTCAGTGGGAGTGCAGTGAGGTGGGGAAGGCCCTGATAACCCTGTCTGTCACAAGTTGTTAATGTCACAGCAAGTCCCTATGTGCCTGCCCAGAAGGTTCTGACTGCATACCCTCTGACACTAGAGAATCTAGCCACATTGCGCCCCCCAGCCCATTTCAGGTGACGAACAGGGTGTGAACCAGGAACTGGAACCCAGACTCCCAGCCTAGTGCTCACTTTGGCCCTTTGTTTAAAGATAAAGAAATAATACATGGGCTGCGCGCGGTGGCTCAATCCTGTAATCCCAGCACTTTGGGAGGCCAAGGAGGGCGGATCACGAGGTCAGGAGATCGAGACCATCATGGCCAACATGGTGAAACCCTGTCTCTACTAGAAAATACAAAAATCAGCTGGGCATGGTGGTGCGTGCCTGTAGTCCCAGCTACTTGGGAGGCTGAGGCAGGAGAATTGCTTGAACCTGGGAGGCGGAGGTTGCAGTGAGCCGAGATTGAGCCACTGCACTCCAGCCTGGCACCTGGCAACAGAGCCAGATTCTGTCTCAAATAATAATAATAATAATAATAATAATAATAATACCTGACAGAGCCGATGCTGTCTTGGAAGGACACGGTGACTCCATTCTCAACTCATGGGCACAGGCACGATGCCAGCTCCCGCCATGTACCATGGGGCTGGGCCTCCAGCCACCATCTGCTGTGAGCATTTTCACACATTGCTACCAAATGACCCTCTCTAACTGTGCGAAAGGGCTTTCTCTGCTGCCCAGGGGGCAGAGACTAAGGGCCCGGCCCTGAGAGGCTGAGTTCATGTGAGCAGCTATGTGCAGGTCTCTGGTCCGCGTGTGTTTGGGCTGGGCAGTCTCAGGCGACAATGGGCCATGCTGGCCTCTGAGGAAACCCAGGGCACCGTGGCTGGGGCCCCAGGTGGCTTCCTGCTTGGGGTGATCATTGACTTGGGACCTGAAGGATGTATTGGAATTGGCCAAGGACAGCGCTCCTGGCTGTGGGGACAGTAGAAGCCAAGGCAATTGTGTGACAAGGCAGGTAGTGGCCCAGTGGGGACTGGAGAGGGTCTGTGGCCTGGGTGCAGGAGCTTTGTAAACCTGGGTAAGGCAGAGTCCAGGACAGCCCCGTGACTTAGTTTGTCATTTTTGTTTGTCTTTGAGACAGGGTCTCGCTCTGTCGCCCCAGCTGCAGTGCAGTGGTATGATCCTGGGCTCAGGCGATCCTCCCACCTCAGCCTCCTAAGTAGCTAGGATTGCAGGCATGTGCCACTGTGCCCGGCCAGTTTGTTCTAAATTGGCCTTCTGGCTGCTGCCTGGAGAACAGAGTTGAGGGGGCAGGTGTAGGTGGGAAAGAGGCCATCACTTGTGGGTGGCCTGGGCCAGCCAAGGCAGGGACAGTGGAAATGGATTGGGAGAGATTTGAGAGGGCTTGAGGTGGTGAGCTGAATTGGGAGAAGGTCTCAGCAACTGGGTGGGGCATGGAAGATGTGAAGAGTCCAGCCTGCCACCATGGCATGGGCGCAGGGATGCTGATGAAAGCCCCGGCCCTGGAGTCCCACTCACTGGCCTGCCACAGCTCCTGGAAGTCCCCCAGCGGGGCTGCCTTCTATGGTAATGAAGTCCCAGTAACCTTCAGCACTGAACTCAGGAGGAGTGGAACTAAACCGGTTACAGTGGGAGGACCGGGCTTGGGTGGGGGGCGGTTGTTGGGAGGCTTATGGCACAGGCTGGAGAATCGGAGATGTTCTCATCTTGAAAAATGCTGACACAGTGTGGTCCAAAGGGAGTGACCCCAGAACATCCTTTTCCTAGAATAATTTACAGATGTGTGCTTTCTCAAAACAAGAGAAAAGGAGAAATGGTGCCCTCAACGCTTTCTTCTGGCAAACACCAGGGCCCCAGGGCCTCTGTGCTACTGTGATTTGGCCTTTTCCGCTCATGCCTCTGCGGTCTGCAAACAGGGAAGTTGCTGGGAGCAGTCTGCGTGGAGCGGCAGAGCTGGGATGTTGTAGGCTTGTTCCCTATCCTGAGGCTCGCCTTTGCTGAGCCAGGGAGTGACTAGGAAATTGGGTAACTCGCAGGCTGAGCAGCTGCTGGCTCAGGGCAGAGGCTTGGCAGGAGCCAAGCTCCCCTCAAAGCCACCTGGCCAGCTGGGCAAAGCTGCCAGTGCAGTCACCATTCTGGCTGTGGACCAGCTCTTGGAGGAACAGTGGTCAGCTCTGGATTAAGGGCCCCGGCTGAGTAAGGCTGTACTGTCTGCACCCTGGGACAGTCAGGGCCCAGAAAGAAGCAAGAGCTTTAGAGCCTGGCGTGGATGTCCGCTCACAGGACCTGGGTGTTTGTGAACATGTGGGAAATGCTGATGAACGGTAAGCCGGCTGCCGCATCAGTGCTTCTCCGGGACCACACCGAGGGGTTCTGCCTCCACCCCGTGGCCTGGAAGGAGCATCTGCGGTCTGAGCCCACATCTTGCCGGTAGTCCGGCTGGGTGGAGTGAGGCTGGATCACAGCCTGAGTGCTGAGTCAGATTCCCTCCTTCCTGGGGGCACCTCGGGACTCAGCCAGAGCGGGTGCTGTCTCTCCCCCACCGCACCCCTGCAGACCTGATTTTGCAACGTCGGCTTCCCACAGAGCCGCTGCTGGGGGAAGTTGAGGAGACATGAGTGTGAAGCCTTTGGTGAGAAGGTGGATGAAATTCTCCCAAGCTGGGACCTGGCTCATGGGGACTTTTTAAGGCTGAGACTCCAGAATCCAAATCCTGTCAGAGAGGAAGGAACCACAAACTGCTTTTCCTACCTTCAGTCAGATCAGGGAGGGCGCGGGGCTGGGTTCTGGACTGCGCTCCCCTCCCGCTACAGGTTCCACTGCACATGTCTAGCTGCGTGCCCTCGCTGAAAAGCTGCTGAACGGGCAAGTGCTAAGACCCTTCCTGGGAAGCCTTCCTGCCTTGTTGCCTAGATCCATCTGCACGCCCGTCCTGCTGCTCCCCCTTATGAACATGTGACCCGGGACCTCACTTCCCCTCAGAGCTGCCATTCCTAATACACAGTTGTCCCTTGGTGTCTGTGGGGGATTGGTTCCAGGATCTTCCTCAGATACCAAAATCCACGGATGCTCAAGTCCCTGATATAAAATGGCATGGAGGCTGGGCATGGTGGCTCATGCCTGTAATCCCAGCACTTTGGGAGGCCGAGGCTGGTGGATCACCTGAGGTCAGGAGTTCGAGACCAGCCTAATATGGCAAAACCCCACCTCTACTAAAAATACAAAAATTAGCTGGGTGTGGTGGCGTGCGCTTGTAGTCCCAGCTACTTGGGCCGAGGCAGTAGAATCCCTCGAATCCGGGAGGCAGAGGTTGCAGTGAGCTGAGATCATGCCACTGCACTCCAGCCTGGGCAACAGAGCAAGACACCATCTCAAAAACAAAAAAATGGCATCAAATTCACATATAACCTATGTGCATCCTCCCATATACCTTAAGTCATCCCTAGACGACTTATAATACTGAATACAATGCAAATGCTGTGTACATAGAAAAGTCTGAAAATGGGGCTGGGCACGGCGGCTCATGCCTGTAATCCCAGCAGTTTGGGAGGCTGAGGCAGGTGGATTACCTGAGGTCAGGAGTTAGAGACCAGCCTGCCCAAAATGGTGAAACCCCGTCTCTACTAAAAATACAAAACTTAGCTGGGTGTGGTGGCACCGGACTGCAATGCCAGCTACTCGGGAGGCTGAGAGAGGAGAATTGCTTGAACCCAGGAGACGGCGGTTGCAGTGAGCTGAGACTGTGTCACTGCACTCCAGCCTGGGCAACAGAGCGAGACTCCATCTCAAAAAAAAAAAAAAAAAGAAAAAAAAGTCTGAACATGTTCGGCATTCTTTCCCTGAATATTTTGTTTCTTTTCTTTTCTTTCTCTTTTTTGAGACAGAGTTTTGCTCTTGTTGCCCAGGCTGGAGTGCAATGGCACGATCTCGGCTCACTGCAACCTTTGCCTCCCAGGTTCAAGTGATTCCCTGCCTCAGTCTCCTAAGTAGCTAGGATTACAGGCATGCACCACCATGCCCAGCTAATTTTTTGTATTTTTAGTAGAGACAGGGTTTCTCCATGTTGGTCAGCCTGGTCTTGAACTCCTGACCTCGTGATCTGCCTGTCTCAGCCTCCCAAAGTGCTGGGATTACAGGTGTGAGTCACTGCACCCGGCCTTCCCTGAATATTTGCAATCCAGGGCTGGTTGAACCCACGCACAGAGTGCACAGATACAGAGGGCCAACTGCATTTACAGTGGCTCTTAGCTACTCAGGGTGCTGGAACAGAGGCCACCTGGCTGTGTTAGATGGGCCAGCACTGCCGCAGCCCCATCCACAAGGAGTGGCCAGAGCCACAGATCTCTGACAAGGAAAAACCTCTAATCTGAGGCCCCTCACTGACCTCTGTCCTCACTACCCAGAGCATGAGAAGGTGGCAGAGGCCTTTGAAATTCCCTTGCATGGTATGTGGGGAAACTGAGTTAAGGGGAGGGTAGGAGCTCACCTGCAGGGCTCTGAGCACAGCCCTGGAACCCTCAGCTCTTCCCCCATCACTGTTGCCTTCTCAGCCTCATATCTTCCTGTCACCAGCCCTGGCCTGGTCCTGAAGCTGGTGAGGCCCCTCTCCCTGCTGCCTCTCTGAAGGACCACAGGTGTCCAAGAGAAAGCACCTGATGGTGGCAGGAAGCCTGTGTCCCTGGCTGGACTGCCTGTGGGATCCTGGGCAGGTCTTTCCCTCTGTGGACCTTTGTCTGCCCATCTGTGCCATGGGGATGCTGGTAGCTGCCCCAAGAGGCAGACACACTTGGCCTCACAGGAGAGAGACTACCTCCATCACCAGAGTGGGAGACTCTGCAGCCAGAAGCCTGTCACAGGAACCTGACTGAGGAGCTGGCTGTGGCTGCATCCCAGCACCCTGCCTGGCCAGCATGCACGGATCGGAATCATAGGCAGGAGTTTGGAGCATGACTTCAGAATGGGAATGGCCTGGCCCTGTCATCCTAGGGCTTTGGCTTCCTCACGAGGAGGACGGGAGGAGTGGCCCTGAGGCTGTGAAGATTCAAGGGGACCTGCCAGGCTGCGGCTGCTCCATGGCAGCTCTGAGGCTGGAGTGTGTCCTTGTCAGCTGCTCATAACCCTGGGCACTGGGGGTGAGTGACTCGTTCACCTCCCAGCACTCTTGGGGCTGGACACAGGCACACACACGTGCACACACATGCCCCACCTCAATCTGTTTGTTGTCCTCAGGGGTTGGAGGTGATCACATCACCAACCCCCAGGTGAGGGCCACACAAGACGTGGGCCTCCATCTGGGCTGGAAGGGCAGTAGAAACTGGAAGGGCCTGCCTCTATACCCTTCAGCTGCAGGCTGGGGTGCCCTGACCCGGCATAGTCAGAGGAAGGTGGCCGACACACCCCTGCACCCCGGGTGGCCAGATGCAGACCTCAGCCTGGGGAGGTGGGCACAACAGCCGCCTCCCAGGCCTGCTCAGAGGTCAGACAGGCACCAGCTGTGGTGTCTCCCCAGGCCCATGCCCCTCAATGTCCAGCTCCTCCCTGTTCCCACCACTGGCCAGCAGGGCCCAGATGCTGTGTGCCCCTGAGACTGGCTCACACTCACCTGCCCCCTGATGAAGCTGAAGCCTGAGAGGTAGAAGGCCAGGAGGCAGAGCGGGAGGAGGCCCCGGGGTCCTGCCATGGCTGGCGGGCACGCTGTCCAGGACAGCGTCAGGCAGTCAGTGGCGCAGGGAATGAGCTCTAGGAGGCAGGCACAGTGCAGGCAGGCGGGACGGGGCGGGCAGTGGCCTTAAAAGCAGCCGGGAGGCCCCGCCAGCTCACCCCCACAGGAACCCGCCAGGATTTCCTCCTGCGTATCAGCAGCCTGCAGGCGGAAGGGAAGGTGCTGGCTACTGACCCCCCATGGATGGCCTGGGCCCTGCTCAGGGCTTCCCGGCCCAGGACCCTCCTAGCATCATGACCTGCAAGCCCAGGCCACCATAAGCCCCGGAGACCTGGGCTCTTATCAGAGTTCTGAAGCAAATCCAAAGGCACATGTGAACAACCCCCACCCCAATGCCCCCTGCCTGGGAGCCCAGTGTGTTTCATCCAGAGACTCCAGGGGTTCTGGTTGACGGAAAGCAGGGTAGTCCCTGGATGGGTCTGTTCCTGCCTCCACCTTTCAACTCCAGGGCACACATGGGGCTCTGACTTACTGCCGGCACCCTGCTAAGCCACCAGACCTGCATCCCCTCACCAGCCCCCGCCACTACTGAGCAGCTGGTCCTGCCCGCCAACCCACATCCACCTTCCCTCCTTCCCTATCTGCCCACAACTCAGCCCACGCTCAGCCAGCTTCCGGCAGCACCTCCAAACCCCTCTCCAGCCAGCTGGTTTCTCTTGACTCTCCCCAACTAGGTCTGCCTCCAGCCACACAGGCCTGTCTGCTCCTTCAAAGTGAGCTCCCCTGGCATGTGCTGTTACCCCAGATTGTCACACACCGGCTCCTTCTCACAGGCCCAGTCTCAAGTCAAGGGCCACCACCTCAGAGTGCCTCCCTGGTCCCAGCCTGCAGGTGGCCCTGAACCTGGCTCACCTCCTGGCGGCACCGGCCACCAGCTGAGATTGGGTTTAGTGTCCTTTGTCTCCCCCTGAAACATCAGCTAAGGGAGAGCAGGGACGCTATCGGGCTGGTACATACAGTGGATGCTCAATTCAGATGTGCAGAAGAAATAAATGGAGGTGGCTCCTTATACTATCCCTGTGTTACTGGTGGGGAAACCAAGGCTCAGAGGGGTTGGGGAGCTTGTCTGAGGTAATCAGTGTTTTAAATCCATCCCAGGGATCCTGCCTGCATAGCCAGCTCCCAGGAGGTGCAGTGAATGCAGGCTGAGGGCCTGTGTGCCAGGGCTGTGTGTGGTGGGCCTTGCCTCCACTTGTCACTACCCCCACCTGCAGATGGTGTAACAGCTGGGGAGACAGGAGTGGGCCAGAGCCCAGTGGCCATCTGCGAATGCTTTGGGAAAGGCCGGATTGGGGGACTTTCTCCTCCCCAGCACGCCTCCACTCCCATCAGGTTGGAGGGGCCTTTGGGCAGGCCTCTGAGATCTGGCTGGGATGGGGGTTGCAAGTGGAGACCCTCCTCCCATTCCCCATACCCACAGCCTTCCTGAGGGTGAAGGGTCCTCCAGGTAGGACCCCTACTCTTCTGGCACCGAGGGAAACTAGGGAGCAGAAGCAGGTCTGGGAGCCAGGCTAGCCACTCCACCCACCTCTCCACAGCCCTGCTTGGCCTGGTGGCCCCAGGGTCCTGGGAACTGAGGCTCCCGGCTGGGTCAGGATGAGTTATGTGAGGCTCAAGGGCCCTGCTCTGGCAGCAGGAATGGGGTTGGAGAAGAGTGGGGCATGGGGCTGACTCCCAAACAAGTCCCAGGTCCCCTCAGCAGGTTCCCTGAAGCAATCCTCAGGGAGGGGCCCACGAGCCTCATGCTTCAGGGATATGAAGACAGGCACAGATAGGCATGCGCCCTCCCTCCACTGTCCACCACCTGGGTCCACCTCCCACGGGCCTCCCCTACTGCCATTCAAGGGCCACCTTGGTGAGATGCCCCGGCTCCCCCACCAGCCATTCAGACTCTGGGCTCTCTGTCCCCCGACCCCTCCTCCACTCCTCACGGGTGTTGTGAAACAGGTGGGGTTGGGTGTAGGGGTGACTGACACAGACCTGCAGGACAGCCTGAAGGGGGTGCATGCCCTGCACCCAGGCAGAGGGGTGGCAGCTGCTGCATCAGGGCTTCCCTGAGGAGTTTCACAGACTTCTTGTTTGCCCTGGGCTCACGTTTTAGCCACAGTCCAGCATGGCCCTGTCCAGAGAGGCCATGGCCCTGTCATGCCTCCCATGTTCCAAGAAGTACCTGGCTCCTGGAGGCTGCTCCCTCCTTTCTCCTAGCCCTTCACCCTTCTGTGTCTCCCGGGCACCCTCTCTCCTATCAACCATGCTCTGGATGGAAGCCCTGCTGGGGCCCCAGTGACCCATGATTTAGAAGATGCAGATGGTGTCAAACTCTGCTTTATTGGAATAGAATACAGGCAACAAGAATCGCGCTTGGTGCTGGCAGCTCCCGCCCCCTGCTCCCACCGGCTCTCCCACTTGTCTGGACCGGGGAGACTCCACAATCTGGGGTGGGAGTTTCCAATGTGCATTCTGCTACCCGCCTCAGGATTAGCAGCAAGATGCCCACGACAGCAACAGCAACAAAGAACTGGACTTGACACTTCAGGAGAGGATGTGTAGAAGAAAGACCCACAGCGCCACGCGTTAACAACGGTCACACAACAGACACAACACTGGTGTGCACGGCCCCGCCACCCTCGGGAGGCTGACGGCACACAGACAGCCCTGGAAGGGCCCAGCATTCTCACTCCCAACATGAGAAAGAATTAACACAACACACACGCATGTTCACATTCTCTGTGAGGACAGTCAAATTAAGGTACCAAAAGGGAGGAGAAAACATTTTAAGAGAACACAAAAGCCTGCTGCCCGGCCCCAGTAGGTGTCAGGCTGGACACAGCAGGTGGCGAGGGCTGGCTGTGGCCTGGGCTAGCCAGTGAGCTCAACAGGCAGCTCACGGCCACACAGGGCCTCCCACTGGCGAGCCAACAGTGAGATGAGCTTCTCTCGGCTCTCGGCACTGGGGACAAACACCTGCCACTGGACTTCATGGCCCTGGCCGGCTCTAGCCGGACTACCTGGCACCTCCCCAAAGTGGTCCAGGGTGACACTGCCCATGAGGTCATGGCCCTGCACATCATCGAAGACAAGGGTGAGGGCCTGTGGGTAGGGCTGGTAGCCCATGAGCACTCGGTCCAGGTCCCGGACGCGGCGGCCATCATCCAGCCGGTACCTGTCTCTCTGCGGCGGCTCTTTGGCAAACTCGGGCAGCGGGTAGTGGATACAGTCCTCATCCAGGAGGAAGATCTCGGAGCTGGTGAGCAGGAGTGTCTTGGGCCGCAGGGGGCCCCTGCAGCACCCAGGGGGTGGTGTGCCCACCTGGAAGGCCTGCACGTACAGCAGGATGCTGAGGGCTGGGGCCTTCTCTGGCTCGCCCATCTTCTGGGCCACAATGAATGTCAGGTCCCCAACCTCCTCCTCACTGGGGTAGGTGAACTTGACACGACTTGAGTGGATCAGCTCGTAGTTCTCCATCTTCCCTGCAGAGAGATGCCACCAGGGCTGTAGCCTGGAACTGGCCCACAGTGGGGCTGGGAGTGCCAAGGGCCCCAAGCCAACCGAGAGACCCCGGCAAGAGAGGATATTTGAAGTGCGGGGCCCACAGGCCAGTAGCCCAGAGCAGGCACTGGGGCTGTGTCTGCCAGATGGTTGAGGGACTGCCAGGGTGGAGACTCTGCCATCTGAAATTCCCACATAAAACCCTGGCCAGCTAAGTGAGAAAAGAGAAAAGGGAGAGGCAGAGAGGGTTCTGGGGCAGAGAGAGCTGCCCTGGGGCCTGTGATGTCTGTCCAGACAGCCTGTCTGTAGCCTGAGGTGGACAGGGGTACCTGTGGTCTTGTTCCCAAACTCGGAGTAGAAGTCCTTGTCAACAGGCTCTGGCGAGGGCGTGCGCTCCAGAGAGGACAGCACGACCATGAGATGCTGGAGGAAGCAGTGCGTCAGGTAGCTGTCTCGCGTCAAGCACGTGACCACCTGTACCGGGTTGGAACCTGCACGAGGCGCGGTGGGGGCTGGTCAGAGCCACAGGCCACCGCTCCCCTATCCCGTCCCTGCTCCTTAGAGCCAACTTAAGTTCCCAGCAAGCCTGAGCCCAGAGGCCAGGGCCAGGAAGGCCCACATAGGAAAGCATCATGGGGTGTGGGAGGAGGCCATTCCTCAGGCCGGAAGAGCTGAGGGATTTTTCTGGAAGGGGAGACAGAGGCATTAGGCAAAGAGCTCAGCTTTCTCTCTTCAGGAAGTATGAGTCAGAAACATCCTGCCCGAGACCAGGGCCCACTCTGCCTCTGTCCGGGCCAGTGCTGGCTGCACATGCTGCCTCCTGTCCGAGCCCTGGAGACTGAGTTCTGCTCTCTCAGCAGTTCCTGAAGCTGCTTCCTCCCACCCTGGGTAAGAAGTGGCTCTTGAGGACAGAGATAACTGCCTATGATAACGCGCCCACGTAAGGAAGGTGGAAGCCCACTGGTGACAGTGGCCTTCACCCGAAATAGGACAAAGCACAGAAGGTCACTCACCCGTCAGCCGGAAATGCTGGTCGAAAAGCCCAACGTTGACGGACTGCAGGTCACTGAGCTTTAGCACAAAGCACTGGGAGATGTGGAAGGGACTGTTGTTGTAGTCGGTGTTTTTCTGATGCCAGAAATCTGTGTGATGGAGACAGGGACTGAGGGAGGCAGGGGCAGGCAAGGACAAAGGTCCTAGGTGTATAGCACATCTACCAGGAACAGGTCCTCTTGGCTGGCCTGGCCTGGTGAGGCCTGGCAAGGAGCCAGTCCCACTTCCACCTACGCAAGACCCATGGGCAATGCGGGCTGGAGTCTGAGCCTCTCCCAGCTCACGGGAGTCACCAGGTCACTGGCTAAGGCTCCCTGTGTGGCTCCAGTGGCAGAGGCTGCCCAACCCCTTCTCATCACAGGCCATTCACAAGCAGTCACTGGGCCCTGGCTCAGGGCATTCTGTGTTCGCCATCTGGCCATGGACCCCTCCCTCATGGCAGCTCCCCTTCCTCAGACAAGGACTCCCAGCCCACTGCAGTCAAGTCGCTGACTGCTGCCTGAAGCCACACAGCTGGCTCCAGAGAGGGCCCCCAGCTCACCACAAGCACACACTCCAAGCTCCTCCCCAGCAGGCCCTGTGCCTACCTTGCAGTGGCTCTGAGAAGTAGCGGCGGAGGCCATCATGGAGCACGAAGTACACAGCCTTGGTGGAGAGCAGCACGCAGGCGGTCACCTCCAGCCCCGGGGTCTGGTAGAACACCACCGAGGACCACATGAGGTGCCTCAGCTCCTCGTTTTCAACCTGGAGATGGGGGGCCTCCTGTCAGCTCCACCATCCCAGCCACCTGCGCATCCCAGGGACATGCCTACCGCTCCCAAAAGGAGACATGTGAAGCTCCTCGCCGCTCACCAATGCATCCGTACACTCAGAGGCAGAGAGGAAGTGAGGGGTGGGAGATGGCTGTGGGGGGTCTGCCTGGGGCTGGAAGTGGCACAGGAGGTGGTGACAGCAAAAATGGCCCAAAGGAGGGCAACTCAGGACTGTGAGCAGCTCAGTTGAGGACTCCCTGGCATCCGAGAAGTCCAGGGACCTGAGGCTGACCCGAAGCCAAGCCTGGCCTCGCCCTCAGGACTGGCTGTGCACCCGCACCCGGGATGCTACCTCAGCAATGCTGCTGTGGAAGAGCTCGATGATGGCGCTGCCCTGCAGGCTGGCGATGTGCCGGAGCGACGGGCAGGCAGGCAAGTGCGAGGGGATCTGATTCTCCTCCGAGGTGGCCTGGATGAGGTGCTCGCTCGGGTACTGGGCAGGGGCCTCGGCTGCGGGTGGGGCTGGAGCCTCCACTGTGGTCTCCTCTGGGACCAAAGCTGAAGTTGAGGCCTCTGCTGGGGCCGGAGTCTTCGCTAGGCCTGAGCCTGAGGCTGCTGCAGGGGCTGAAGCTGGGACTTCCACTGGGGCTGGGGCCAGAGCCTCTGCTGGGACCTCCTGGGGACACTGTATATTGCTGTAACCCCCAAGAAACACCATGTTAACAGCGGACCCCAAATGAAGATTCACATCGCACGTGCAGCTTCAGCGTGAGGAGACTGTGTGCATCACACACCATCCATGGGTCACCTGGGGGCTTCATCACCAGCTTCTCTAAGGGAGAACAAAACGGCATGGCCGGGCGCAGTGGTTCACGCTTGTAATCCCAGCACTTTGGGAGGCCGAGGCATGAGAATTGTTGGAGCCCAAAGTTCGAGACCAGCCTGAACAATACAGCAAAATGTTGAGGTGGATGAAGCCTAAAGTATATCCTGGCCCACAGAGCCATTCATGGGACTGTGACCCTGGTGGGGGCAGTGCCCAGAGGCCATGCCTGGGCCCAGCAGAGCACAGCAGCCAGGGCGACAGCTCTCCTGGCCTGGGTATGCTGCGGCCTGTGGCTCTCCCACTGGGCAAACCCCCTCGGCCGGCCCTGAATGAGTGGCAGGAGCCTGGGGCAACCCGTTTTGTGAGAGGACTGCTGTCCTGAGCTGGTGATATAGAGGAAGGCTGGGGGGCAAGGGGGCAGGAGGGGGCCCCGAGAGAGCTGGGCCAACCCCCTGGCCCACACATGAGCCGCAGATGCTGAGATCACACACATGCCAGACCCATGGCCCCCTGGCTCCTGAGAGCCGTGCTGGGTCTCACCTGGCCCTGCGCTCGGCAGGCTGGGCATCCGCAAAGGGGCCCTGAGGGCTGGCCCCCATCGCAGGGGTCTTGGCGATGACCACAGTCTTCAGGTCCTGCAATGAGGCCCGCAGCTGGTTATAAATGCGCAGGAAGTGGAACTTCTCATGAGGCAGCACGAAGATGGCGGTGACGAAGCGGTACCCCACCAGCAGCTCCAGCACATGACCGTCAGCAAAGGCACCCCGAGGCTGGGTGCAGCTGCGCGTGGGGTCTAGCAGCACGGTGGAGAGCGGCACGCGGCTGAGCTTGAAGCTGTTGCGGTTACGACAGTTGTGGGTGCCCCGGTTGGGCATGGGGTTGAAGTCGGCCTTGATGACGTTGAGATGCTGGGGCGTGAGCAGCAGCCAGTAGGGGATGGCGGCGGACTTGACAGCCTCAGAGGGTGCGCAGCAGGAGCGCCGCACAGCGGAACAGAGTGTGCAGCTGGCCCACTCGATGTTGCCTGAGTAGTCCCCGGCGGCCGTCTGCACCATGCGCTTGTCGCTATAGACCAGGTAGACGGGGAAGCAGCCCTGGCTGCGCTCCTGGCAGCCGCCAGCCACCTTGTAGAAGGTGAGCAGCTGGCGCAGGAACTCCTGCAGGCTAGTGTGGCTGCCGTAGAGGATGGGGCTACACAGCATGGCCATGTGCTGCGGCGCGAAGCATGAGCGCAGGTCTGCATGGAACTCGTGCAGGTTGGCAGCATCCGAGATGATGAAGAGTGTGTTCTCACTGTGCCGTACCTTCAGCACCAGACACAGCTCTGGCATGAGGAAGCCGAACTCTGTGAGGTCGCCATGTGGGAAGCAGAAGACAAAGCGCAAGGACGAGAGGATGTGCTGGCTGCTGCCCCGAGACTCCTGGTGCGGGATCTCGAAGACAGCGATGCCGAAGTCGGTGAGCACAAGGCAGGCAGCGAACTGGCGGATGCTGCCCTGCACGTGGATCAGGAAGCACCACAGCACCTTGAGGATGCGGATGTGCTCCAGCAGAAAGTCCTCATCCGCGCCCAGGGCCCACTCCAGAGCCAGGCGCTCCTCCTCAGCCTCTTCATCTTCCTCTTCCTCCTCCTCCTCTTCCTCCCCCTGGCCTCCTTCCTCCTCCTCCTCCACGTCCGGGGGCCCCATTTCAAAGTATCGATTCTCAGCAACATCTTCCTCTTCCTCCTCCTCCTCTTCCTCCCCCTGGCCTCCTTCCTCCTCCTCCTCCACGTCCGGGGGCCCCATTTCAAAGTATCGATTCTCAGCAACATCTTCCTCTTCCTCCTCCTCTTCGTCGTCCTCCTCGCCCTGCTCGCCCCGGCCCTCCTCCCGCTGGTTGGCGGCCTCGATCCAGGCAGGCAGCTGCCGCTCGATGGCCTGTCGAATCAGCGTGCTCAGGCGCTGGATGAAGTCTTGGTTGGTGGCCGTGTAGCCAATGCAGGTGAAGGGCAGGAAGATGATCTGGCCAGATCCAGGCACCACCTGGACCTCTGGCTCCGCATGTTCTGGGCTGTGCAGGGAGAGGCCATGTCAGCGGTATGCTGGGAGGGGCCCCTCCCACCTCCCACATCTGAAGCCTGCTGCTGCACCCTGACCCTGAGAAACCAACCCATGGATCTCCCAAGCCTCCCACACAGCTGAGTCAGCTCCCAGGATGAGGGCCCTGGTGGGAGCCCGTGCTGCTTGCTGAAAGGCTGGGTCGCCAGTTTGGTCAGAGTTTCTGCTTCCAGGGGCTTGGACCATAGGTGCCCAGCACAGCTATACCCAGGCCATATGGGTTCCCATGACAGAAGCACTCCCATGGGCTTGTAAGTCATTCAGCTGCTGCTATAAGCCCTGGAGAGAATGAACACTCCAGGGCATGAATCTATTTGTTGCCCCTGGTGGCCTCCGGGGCAGGGAAGCGGGCCAGGGCAGGTCTTAGGACCTTTATACTTAAATTCCAGCTCTTCTTGGCCACTGCAGCCCTTGCATGTAGAATGGGAGTTGGTGAACTTCTGTAAAGGGTCAGAGTACACATTTCGGGATTTATGGGCTACCCTGTCCATACGATCTCTAACAGCCCTTTAAGAATGTAACTGTCGGCCGGGCGCGGTGGCTCAAGCCTGTAATCCCAGCACTTTGGGAGGCCGAGGCGGGTGGATCACGAGGTCAAGAGATCGAGACCATCCTGGTCAACATGGTGAAACCCCGTCTCTACTAAAAATACAAAAAATTAGCTGGGCATGGTGGCACATGCCTGTAATCCCAGCTACGCAGGAGGCTGAGGCAGGAGAATTGCCTGAACCCAGGAGGCGGGGGTTGCGGTGAGCTGAGATCGCGCCATTGCACTCCAGCCTGGGTAACAAGAGCGAAACTCCGTCTCAAAAAAAAAAAAGAATGTAACTGTCCAACATAGTGAAACACTGTCTCTACTAAAAATTAGCCAGGTGTGGTGGTGGGTGCCTGTAATCCCAGGTACTTGGGAGGCTGAGGCAGGAGAATTGCTTGAACCCAGGAGGCGGAGGTTGCAGTGAGCCGAGACGTGCCATTGCACTCCAGCTGGGCGACAGTGCGAGACACCATCTCAAAAAAGAAAAAAAAAAAAAGTAAACTGTCATTCTGGCTGGGTGAGGTGGCTCAAGTCTGTAATTCCAGAACTTTGGGAGGCTGAGTGGGAGGATCACTGGAGTTCAGGAGTTTGAGACCAGCCTGGCCAACATGGTGAAATTCTGTCTCTACTAAAAATACAAAAAATCAGCTAGGCGAGGTGGTATGTGCGTGCGGTCCGGGCTACTCAGGAGGCTGAGGCTGAGACAGGAGAATTGCATTAATCTGGGAGGCGGGGGTTGCAGTGAGCCAAGAACGTGCCACTGCACTCCAGCCTGGGCAACAGAGTAAGACTGTCTCAAAACAAACAAACAAACAAACAAACAAAGAATCTAACTATCATTCTTAGCTCCCAGGCTGTGAGCCACACACAGGCCTTGATGTGCCAACCCCTGGTGTAGGGTAACGTGCTGGGCAGAATTTAGGTATTAGAATTTGGAAACAGATTGAAGAGTCCATCTCATCTATGTCTCTTCAGAGTAAGAAATAGTTCTGCAGAACTTCTGTAAGCGGATTTTTAAAAGGAAGTGGCTACCTCTGGCCCACAGCGGAGTGTGTGCAGAAGGCCACGTGCAGCCAGGCCCAGGTCCCTTTCCAACCTCTTCCTTACCTTGCACCACCAACAGCTCCTGGCACATCCCTTAAATCATCAGAAGCTGCCTGATGGAGAAAGAAACGCAGTCAGTGCCCACCTACTGCAGCCAGCCCTAGCATTTACTGGGTGCCAGACCCTGAGCTGGGCATTCTGCCATCCATCACTGCCCTGAGGATGTTCCTCCCCATCCCACGCTCTACCCTGGGCCCCACTCTGGAACCCAGGAGGGCAGAGACCCACTTGGTTATCCCACCGGCATACAGTAGGGCTGGGTTTCCCACACTCCTAACCCAGGGCCACAGCCTCTTGCCTCTCCAGGGATTCGGCATCTAAATGCTCCTTATGCCACCCAAGGGTCCAGGTAGATAGTCTACAAATTTGGTCCAACCCTAACTGGCCAGTAGTGGACACAGCCCTGAAAAGTCCCTCCCAATGTTCTTTATGCACTGGGGAAGACCTAGGGCTTGGGAATCTCTTGCTGTGTGACCCTGGGAAGGGTGATGGGAGAGTACTGTGGAGTGCTGAGGACAGACAAGGACTCTGCAAACTGTCCCAGTGTCACAAGGCCATAACCTTGTACTGCTGCAGAGACAGGGCTGGAGGGAGGCCCAGGCACCAAGCACATTCCCCAAGCACTCAGCAAGCACCCTTGTTTTCCTCCTCTCTTTTCTCAGGACACAGGAAGGGGCTCTGAAACTCTCAGTAACAACCACAGAGGAAGTGCTGGAGTTATACTGTTTCCCAGACCACCAGGGTGACATGTGGGAAGGGGCTGAGTGGTCCCAGGGGTGCCAGGAAACAGAGAAGAAACCCAAACAAGGCCCCGCACAAGGGCCTTTTGAAATGCCTTCCCCAGGAGAGCCTGCACACAGGGTCAAGGGCCACCCTCTCCACCTGCCCCCTCGTGCCCTGGGCCCAGTGACAGAGAACTGCCTGTTCCCATCAACCAAGGGGGTGAGGAAGGGAAGGAGGGAGGCCGAAAATAAACCCTTAACCACTGAGTTTGTCAGGAAGACAGACTCAACTAGAGACAGGTCCGAGAGAAAGACCGTGGGCAAAGCAGAGGACGCCGAACCCTGGAAGTATCTGCCTCAGCTCCAGCCAGGCTACTTCCTACTGCACACAACCCCAGGCAGAAGAGTCCACCCACGGCCATATGGTCCCCAGAAGCAGGAGGAGGGCATTACCTGTCCTGCAGGGATGGACTCCAAGGAATCAGAACATCCCCGGGCAATGGGCCGGTCCTCAGGAGTCAGACTGTCGGTGGACGAGACGCTGCTGGCCAGGGCCTCCTCCTGAACGAACATGATTCCTGGAGAGACCGGGTGGGTGGGCAGGCAGGCAGGGTAGGCGGGGCAGGGAGAGTGGCCATTCAACAAGTGGGGCTGGGCCCCTCAGGCTACCGGCATGGCCGGGGGCTAGCCAGACCCCAAAACCCAGCCATATGGATTATAGAACATGTTAAAACTGAAATTTCAAAATGACTGCTTATCTAATCTCAGAGCAGAGAGAGGTATTCTGAGAATAAATGCAATGGAAAAAACTGATGTGTGACTATATAAAAATTAATCTTCCATAGACACTTTTTTTTAAAAAAAGGATAAATTAAAACCAGATGAAATGAGAAAAAAGTGTTTGCAGTATCTGACAAAGATTTAGATTGCTAGTCTGTAAAACGTTCTTACAGATTACAAAAACGGGGGAAGGTTGGAAACCCCTTTCACAGACTACAAGGACGTGAACACACATTCGCAGAATGGCCAGAAGATAGAACGTGAAAAGAATGCTCACTCTCAGTAGTACACAAAGAAAGGCAAGCTGAAACAAGATACCAGTACTGCCTCTTAACTTTGGCAAAACTCAGGCTGACTGTGTGGCCTGCCCTGACCTCACTGGGCAGAGGCCGGCACAGGCATGCGAGCTGGCCCACTCATCCAGACAACAGTTTAGAGGTACATCCATCAAGAGCCCACAATGTGTTCACTCCTGGAGCATCTGATGACTGGACATCACTCTGTCCCCTGATCTGTCATCTCTGCAGGACTCACAGATACACAGTGCATGGGACGATTCACCAGGGGGCCAGCCCTTACAGGCCTTGGTATCCAGCAGGGCTGCTGAGTCCAGCCTGAGCCCGCATCCACAGTCCCACTTACTGCAGGATGCGCCCACTTACCTGCCCTGTGGCCACCTCCCACGGACGGCAGTACTCTGTCCCATGAGCTCTGTAAATGCATAGTGTTCCTAAACCCTGCTGAAGCTTTTTTATGAACATAGCCTATCTGGACCTGTGACTCCACTCCAGAACACCTCTAGACCGCTTGAAGTGAAAGCATTTGTGAACACTTTCCTGACTGCAGCCAGCAGGGTGAACACGGCATCCGCCACCAGTCTCATGGAGGCCTACAGGAGCCCCAGCAGCCTCCACAGCCCTGCGTTGCCATGTCCCAGTGAAATGACCCCAAGCCCTCTGAGCCCCACAGGTCAAGATCCCTTCCAGCTCAGCTGCTCCCCAGGACAGGACAACTCACACAGCCTGGGTCCTCTGCCCACAAGTGAGGCAGGCGGGTGGGCCCAAGCTCAGATGCCCCCACAAAGTGAAGCAGCAGGGGCTAGGCAGGCAGGAAGAATGGCAAGCAGACAGCCATGCATGAAGCGCCATGATGGGCCACCCCAGGCACCTGCCCAGGCCTCTGCTCTCCTGCAATCCACCCTCTGCCCACTGAACGTTCAACTCCTACCCATCCTTCGAGATTCACCTCAGACACCACCTCCACTGCAGACCTCTACTCTAGAGTCTATAGAAGCCCCACACCATCCTGCCTTGTTCTCCTCTGGCACCTGGCTCATCCTCCCTCATGGCTCCAAGCTCCCCAGGGGCACCGTCTGGGTCATCTCGAACCCCCCCACTAAAGATGTGGGAAAGGGCAGCCTTCATCGACCACCCCCGTGGAGCTCTGAGCAGTGCCAAGCGCCTCCCCAGCATTCGTTCATGCATGCCTCTCGTTATTTACCACATTTCATCAAATCTAAGATGCAGCAGGTGGAGCCATCTTGGTCCTAGCGGAAGGTGTCCACGGATTTTCCATGACTCCATCTCGAATACCAGCTGGCTGACAGCGACTATGAGATGCCACTGACTGAAAGACGCACCTCAATTTCAGAGAAGTCACAAGGTGGAAATGCGTGCCTCTTGGAATGAATGAAGTAGGGTGCATCCACTTCGCAGTTGAGAAGGTCCCACAGCTAGGAAGCTGGGACACAAACTCAGCTGACAAAGCCCTGGGTCCTGGCCATCTCTCCACACAGCCTTCTCTCAGTTCCCAGGCCTGGCTGGACAATCAACTCTGGCACCTCAGGCGACCACCCCTATCAGTCACAATCATCCATGGCTCCGACAGCACCCGCAACCACAGGAGGCTGGGTGTTGTCTGGACAGCGCCCCCTTCAGGCAGGCCCCTGACTACCCAGTTCATTAGCAACTAGGCTCCCTTCTGGGGAACCAGGCTGGGAGCAACAGGCATGGGTCAGCAAAGCTGCTCCCCTACACTAAAAAACCCTGCCCATCCAGGCAAGACCCAGGAACGCGCAGCTGAACAAACACATAGGAGGCCTCCGAATCAGTGAGAAAAAGACCAACACTTTTTGCCACTACCCCTCCCCCAAGCCCTGTCTGAACATGAGGAAATGTGAACAGGGACAGTCTATCTTCTCCCATCGTGGACCGTGGCCTGTACCAACAAGCGGTCAGAAAGGGCACTCAGTGGATAGAACGGGAATATCAGGAGAGTCCTTAGATGGGGGTCCAACCTTTGCTGTTTCTCACCAAAAGGAAAGAGAGGTGCACACAAAGACATCCACTGCAGTTTTATTTAAGAGGTGCAAATCTGGAGGCAACATCCAGAAGTCCAGTGATGGCAGGCAGGGACTGACTGCAGAGTGCCCCTCTGCAGAGTGTCCCCAGGGCACGAGGGGAGCGAGAAGGGGGCTAAGCTGGTGCAGAGGCTTCACCGACAATGAGGGGGCTGCCTGCAGCTGCAGCCTGGGGGACAGTGCACCCCTGCCCACCCAGGGCCTGCTCCTCACCGGCTCCTGCTCTACCTGCCCACACTCACTCACTGATCAACAGATGCTGACAGAAACGGCTATGTCCCTGGCCCTGAGAAGCAGATGCAGCTCCCTGTCCCCAGAAGCCTAGTCATATGATGCCTCCACAGGTTCGCTTGGCCCCCTGTAGGAAGCGGTGTCAGGGAAGCTTCCTCACTGTGATAGAACCTCCCGGTTTTTATGTAAGAAAATGCAACCAGAAATCCTCAGTCAAGAGTTTGACAGAAGCAAAATGGGCAATCACCCTGGCACCTAACCCCATCGCTCCGTGCTCAGGAATTCTCTTCCACATCTCACAGGTGTGACCTCTGGGCTGCTCTGCGTCAGGCCTTTTGCCTTAATGTGAGTGCTTCTCCCCTCTTCCTGCCCAGTCTTCCTGTCCCTGCTGGGAAGGTACACACAGCCGACTCTCCCTCTCATCCGCCGACGCCGACGTTGCAGTTGCAGCCCGTGTTTTGGCAGTGATGAGCATTTCACCTCCCCTTCCCAGTATTTTATCCCTCTAAGAGAAAATCTCCACCAGTGGGGTTACCAGGTCAAGGGGTGGGAATGTTTTTCTGGCTCTTAAAACATCGGGTTGAACTGTTTTCCCAAGACCTCACACCAAGTTCTGCGTCTCCAGGAGCCTGGGCAGGCGGCGTCCTTTCCTGCGTGTCCCGAGCCTCGGCTCCACTCGGGACGGCACACCCTCCCCTCTTCCGCGGGGGCCGGGCCAGCAGACACGCTCATGGGACCTGCTTCACTCACTCATCTCCGAGGATGCCTGGGTTCAGAGGTGAAAGCCCTTTGAAAACGCTAAGACAGTGGGCAGACGAATGGGCCTTGTCTTCCATGGGTCCACAGGGACACAGATGGCCCATCCTGGCCCCACAAACACAGTATTCTGGGGCTGGGTCACACCACAGAGATGAGGCAATGATAAAAGCAAGGTTTTCCCCGTGCAGGGATTCGGGCTTCAGACTGAGGAAAGTCACAAGCCCGGCCTCCTGTAACCAGGAGCCAACAGCCCCAAGGGCAGCCTCAGGGCCCATCAGACACCCTGCGGTCTCCTAGAGGAGCTGGATGTGGGCGTCAGAGCAATCGGGAGTCCTCACCAAGCAAGCAACAGCTGGCATCAGGCCGGGCACCCCTGCCATGTGTTCCCCTGCGAGGACCAGCCTGCAGAAGGCACCGCCCTCCCTGTGTCTGACCCTGTTGGAAGCAGGTGGTGGCACCTCTCCCCCAACCCCAGACCAGCCAGGGGGCCCAGGCAGGGCTGTGTGGCTCCACTAAGAGCAAGATACATACACTATTACCTTGGTTGGAGAGGATGGGCTGGGGCAGGGAGGCAGATGTGGGAGCCACGGTGGGAGGGGAGCTGCTGGGTCTGACGCAGGGAACAGCTGAGAGCCGAGAGTCCTCGCCACCCTGAGGACAAGTGCTTGAGTCAGCCCAGGAGAGAAGAGGAAGCACAGAGCTCCCCAAGGCCAAGGCAGCGAGGAAGGAGCACAACAGTTCTCACAAACTGGGTGCTGCAGAGGGTCCCACCCGACCCTTACAGCAGGAACTATTACTGTCCCCAACCCAGAGGAGAACACAGAGGCCACGACTTGCCCAAGGTCATGCAGCCAGGGAGATGCAGCTGGAACTTGGCAGCCCTGAGCAATCCCAAAGCCCAGGCCCCCTGAACTGGCTCCTCTCATGGCTGGCTCTGCACCACTGCCCTCCCACCTGCCATACCCACCCACCTTCTTCTCTGGGTTGCTCAGTTTGGACTTGACTTCCTTGGCTTTCTGAATTGCTTTCAGCACTTCCACAGTGTCCAGCTCCTTCTCTGTGGTCACTGTGTCATCTAGACAGACCTAGAACATCCAGAAAGTGGCTATCAGCATGGGGACTGGCAAACATGGCAGGAGAGTGGCGGGGTCCTGCTGAGGATGGGGCGTGAGCACCTGCTGTGGGAGAGGCCCTGTGAGGACACCGAAGGCTGAGGGGGGCTCAGTTTGCTTTGAGGTGGCCCTTCACGACTCACAGAAGTGAACTGAGAGTGCCTTGGAGGACCCCAGGAAGGTCCCACATCTGTCTCTGGAGTCCCTCACCAAGAACAGGAGGCAACAAGCTCTTGGGCAGCTGGGACTAGGGAAAGGGGACAACTTGAACTAAGCCCCCAGTTAGAGGCAGGAGCCAGACTAAAGAGCAATGGGTAGGGGAACCAGCGGTGGGAGAGGTCAGGGCTCCCACCTGCAAATGCAGGAGGGAGTAGTGGCTGGCAGGCAGTGGGGGCTGGGTAGGGTGGTTGAATGAGGGAAGGTCCCAAGGGCATGGACAGGAACAGATACTCTGTGGACTGGGAGCTTCCCAAGGTCTGGAGCCCAGGAGGGAAGGAGATGACATCTCATGGTCTTGTGATTATGTGGAGGAAGGGGCACTTGGAGCCAAAAAGAGGGAGGTGGACACAAATAGACTCCTAAGTATTTTCTGGCCTGGGATTTCAGGAGAACAGAAGGTCCAACGATCAATGAGGGATTCAGGGGGCCTGCTCGAGGCCCAGGCGATGGGTGAACCTGGTTAAGGTGTGTCTGGTCGGTATCGTGGCAGGTGCACAAACACAGCCGGGGGCAGCAGACACCAGGCTGGGCTATACTGGCAAAGGCAAATCCTTTGGGTTTACAATCAGACACTATAGCCACAAGTTGTTCAGGAGATAGGAATATTTTAAGGATCTTATTTCTGACCCTTTCCTAGAATAAACAATGTTATCCCAGACAGGAGGGGCAGGAGATGCAAGGGAGCCTTTTCCTGGGGAGATAGTGGACTTCCCAGAACCAAAAAGCCCTCAAGGGACAGGACGTCCTTCTGAAGCAGGAGAGGGTAGAACAATGGACATATATCCCTACCGTTCATGCAGACTTGACTATATCCCAGGGGTCTCCCTGGGCTCCTCAGGCTGCACTGGGGCTCACCTCTGAGGCCCTCTCTCCAAACTGAGCCAGCACCTTGGTCCGGTAGTCAGGGATGATGCTCAGAGGGTTGTTCAGCAGAAACACATGCTCCAGACACGGGAGGCTACCTATGCTCCGGACCTCCTCCATCTGCAAGGTATGAGTTCCATCCCCTTTGGTCCCTTCTCTTAACACTTCGGCAACACGGCAACACGTTTCATGGCCTCTTTTAAGTGAAAGGAATCTTAACATTCTTCTTTAACATGATACACACCAGGCACAGAAATCCCAGAACCATGAGGTCCTTGGGCTCACCTGTTCGATCCTGTTGTCCCGGAGATCCAGGTTGACCAGTGAGTAGAGCTTGTGCAGGCCACTCAGATTCTCCAGGAGGTTGCCTGCCAGGTTCAAGGTCTTGATGTTCCCCAGCTTGGTGTGAAGCCCTTCCAAGGAGGAGAGCTTGTTGTAGGACAGGTCCAGATGCACAAGATTATACAGGGGCTGCAGCGGCGTGGAGAACAGTGTAAAGTGGCTCAGGTCAAGTCTCCAAAGATAGGGGCCTGACACTAATGGCAAGATGGGCCTTCCCACCCAAACCACCCACTTCTGCAAGTCACTCTGACAGCTATTTTAGGAAGGGAAGTCCCTCTTCTCTGCTGCACATGCCACGGCACAGTGGCACCCCTACAGACAGTTGGGGTGGCGGTTGCAAACATAGCTGTCTACCTTCAGGACGGAGATGTGTCATCATGCCTGGTTTTTATTTACTCATGTTTCCTAATTCTTCGGAACTAGAGCAACAGTCACTCAGTGCATTGCTGGGATCCTAAAGGGAAGGCAGCAGCCCCTGCCCTTCAACCCCTGGGTATGGCCAAATTCCCAAGGCTGCATCAGCCTCCTGAACTCTCAGAACGGGACACTGGGAGAGTGGGCAGACAGCACTGGTCTCCAAAGGGACTACCTGCAGATTGTCCACAACCAGCAATCCATTGTGACTCAGGTCCAGGAACTCAATCTTTGGGATCAGTTTCTTGTAGGGGGGGAGAAAAAAAGAACATCCGATGTTACTGTAGGAGGCTGGACCCCAAATACAGACCCCTACATGGTAGAGGGGCACCCCAGGACACTTTCTCCCAACCATGGATTCCCATGGGCCATCCCTGCAGGACCACTGGTGGGACACCTCCCACTGCCCAGCCAGTAGCACATCCAAAGGCACACACAGGCCCCCCATGCTGGGCACTACCCATTGTTTTCATGGAACACTTGCCTTGTGAAAACGACACATGGCAAGGTCCCAGACAGAGAAAGGAGTCTGTCCTTCTTTAACCCCTGCCCACACTCCCTGAGCAGCGCAAACACAGGAATGACACTCTTACTGCCCAAATGTCCTCTGGATGTCATTCTTATACGGGCACATCTGTCATCTATGGAGTGACTGTTCTGCTTCACTCTTTGGAGTAAATGTCATCACTTAGTGTGGCTATAATTTATTAAATTTACATGAAATTAATGCTTTTATTTGGTTCTAAGCACTATCTCACCGATTTTAAATGATTTCATTTGTTTTTTCTTTTGAGACGGAGTCTCACTCTGTCGCCCAGGTTAGAATGCAGTGGCGCGATCTCAGCTCACTGCAACCTCTGCCTCCCGGGCTCAAGTGATTCTCCTGCCTCAGCCTCCCGAGTAGCTGGGATTACAGTGTGTGCCACCACACCCAGCTAGTTCTGTATTTTTAGTAGAGATGGAGTTTGACCATGTTGGTCAGGCTGGTCTCGAACTCCTAACCTCAGGTGATCCTCCCACCTTGGCCTCCTAAAGTGTTGGGTAATCAGGTGTGAGCCACCACGCCTGGCCCCCACTTTGAAATTAACTTAAAATTGCAGGCACTGCGCAGAGCACTAGATATAGGTTTTCTGTGATCCTTCTTGAAAAAGCTGAGTTAAATACTCAAACTCAGGGTTTGGTGGGGCCAGAGAAACCCCTGGCACCTGCTGCTGAGAGCATACCACAGACTCGTCGATCTCGGAGATGCTGTTGTGGCTCAGGTCAAGCGTGGTCAATGCCTGCCAAGTGGGGATGACGGCTGTCACAGGGCCTTCTAGGGCTGTGCCTTCAGGCTCCCACTCATCAAATTCTGAGGCTTCAGGAACAAGGACTTCCTGCAGAAAAACATCTGTTGAGCACCACACTCGGGCCCTCACGCAACACTCACTGGGAACACAGTAGTTGCAGAATTTAAGGAAGGGTTGGAGCATATTTAGCACATGGAAGTAAACTTGCATTAAAGCAGACCTTGGGTTTGCATGTCTTTAAACGATTGTGAAATCATTCAAAGCTGAATTCTGAGACACATGTTCACTCTGTTACCCAGTCTGGAGTGCGGTGGAGCCATCATGGCTCACTGCAGCCTCGAACTCCCAGGCTCAAGCAAATCCTGCCTCAGTCTCTTGAGTAGCTGGGACTACAGATGCACACCACCTTGCCCAGCAAATTAATTTTTTTTTTCTGTAGAAACAAGGGCTCCCTACATAGCCCAGATTAGCCTCAAACTTCTGGGCCCAAGTGATCCTCCCGCCTTGACCTCCCAAAGTGCTAGAATTATTGGTTGAGCCACTGCTACTAGCCAGCCATCTTTTCTAGCTTCTCAGAGGCTGAAGGTCAGAATTCAGTTTCCAGGCAACTGTGCGTTCCAAGCTGATGATGTGGTCCTCACTGTGGACACCAGGCCTTTAAAACTATTATTTCATAGGGATGAAGTCAGACAATGCTAAGACAAGGTGACCAGAGACCATCAAAATGGAGGAAGGCAGGCCTATTCGTTTGACAAGACCTCTCTTCTCACAATGGGTTGGGTTCCTGGGTTCCTTTAGCAAGACAGCGAGACATGCTCGGAGAGGGACCAGGTAGTCCAAAACTCTCTCTGCAAGCCTCAACAGGAAAATTTTTCACCAAACCCAAGTCTTTTTTTTTTTTTTTTTAAGAGACAAGGTCTCCCTATGTTGCCCAGGTTGGCCTCGAACTCCTGGGCTCAAGGAATCCTCCTGCCTTAGCCTCCCAGAATGCTAGAGCCATTATACCTGGCCCAAACCTAAGTCTTGATCAGGCACCTTAAGTCACAATATTAGCTGCTACATGCCTTTTCTATACCCAGAAAAGGATTTTAACATTAGCAAGATATAATCCATAAAAAGGTAAACAGAAACCTACATTCCCAATTTGAATGTTTCTGCTTCTCACATGTAAACAGAGCCTAGTATTTCTACAACCTCACCCTCTAATCAATTCCATGGAGAAAAAGATACAAATGAGTACGAAGCCAGGGATTGCTAAAGCTTAGAGGATCAATCTAAGCTTAGTTACCAATCTAATTAATAGGTCCTGCCACTTGCCACAGCTTAGCAGTTTGTTCATTAAAAAACCAATGATGGCCAGGCACAGTGGCTCATGCCTGTAATCCTAGCACTTTGGGAGGTTGAGGCAGGCAGATCACCTGAAGTCAGGAGTTTGAGACCAGCCTGGCCAACATGGTGAAACCCTGTCTCTACTAAAAATACAAAAATTAGCCAGGTGTGGTGGTGGGCACCTACAGTTCCAGCTACTCAGGAGGCTGAGGCAGGAGAATTGCTTGAGCCTCAGAGGCAAGGTTGCAGTGAGCTGAGATCACACCACTGCACTCCAGTCTGGGCCAAAGAGTAAGACTCTATCTCAAAACAAAAACAAACAGACAAACGACATTTTGTTTAACCCATGACATTTTAAATTTTTTGGCGAAAAAAGCCAAGTTCCTTAAAATGTCTCGTTAACAACACAGACTTTTACACAGATGTGAACTGAAGCGTTCCAGGGGGTGTCAAGAGCTGGGAGGCCCCCTGTGAGTATATGGCTACCCCACAGAAAGTCCAGCCTCTGAATAATGACAAACATAGCAGTGTCCACACCCATTCTCAGTGGGTGAAGACCACAGCCCAGGACCCTGACCTGCAGACACTGCCCCAGGCAGAATACAGGTGATGCTTACCTTCATGGAGGTCGCTGAGAAGCGGACGCTCAGAGTGGCTAAGGTGGGCTTCGAGGAGACCAGCCCTCTAATGTGCTTAGCATCACAGTGACTTATCTGGAACAAGGAATGGCCACATCTCAGAAACAGCTTCCTTGCTCCATCAGAAGTCCCTAGACACAGGTGTTCACCACCCCCATACAAAAGAAGCACAAGGATGGGCAACCCAAATCTTCAGAGACGGGAGGCCACTCAAGACCGAAGTCTCTCTTCTTCCCAGTGTCAGTGCTAACCAAACATTCTCTCAGGTATCTAGTAAGAAAGATGCCTGGCCTCTCAGACTCGAAATGGACCACAAATTCCATTTCCTCTGTAAGAGCTGCCTGGGGCTTGGCAGGTGAACATAAAGTGTGGGTCATGGAAACTGCTCGGGAGAACAAGGGGCCTCCACAGCACAGTGAGTGGGGTGGGTCCCCCTGTTTACCCAGCCCCACTCCACAGAACTCAGCTGTCCTATGGTAAGGAGGGGTGGGGCACAGGCCCAAGCACACCCACAGACCCAGATCCAGAGCCTCAGCCTGCTCGGCAGGGCTGGGTCGGGGTTCCCCGTCACCTCCCAGCCCTCACTCAGCAGCAGTGGCCAAAGCACTCCTTGAGTGGTCCTCCAGGTCTCGGCCAAGCCTAGACTGCTGCAGGCAGAAGAACCCAGTGCACAGCAGAGGCTCTGGAGACAGACTCGGCTGAATTCAAACCCCAGCTTTCCGCTCATTGACTGTGTGACCCTGGCCAAATGTCCTTATTGGCCCAAGCCTCAGGTTCCCCAACTGTAAAATGGGAATAAAAATATCTTCCTCACAGGGCTGTTGGAAAGATTCAATCAAGGAAACATGGGGACACAGGGGAGTACACAAAAGCCACGCTCAAAAAATTATGTTTTGAAACACGTTTTCGTTTTCATTACTGACTCCCCTTTTTAAAAAAACGGTAAAATTGGTGTTGCAAACCAAGGAGTCCAGTAGTGACAAATGCAAGGCATTTCTTGTGTGGGCGCCCCAGGGGGCAGGGCAACCTCGAAGCTCTTTGCCAATCGGCCTTGGGAAATACAGACTTGTATTTGGCTCTGTCTGACCCTCAGGATGACTTCCCAGGACTTTAACTTGAAGTAAACACGCCCCCTGCCCCTATAAGGAGACCCAGAGGGAGCCAGGTGCCGGTTGCTCCACCTTGGCTAACTGCCCCTATGCTCACGCTAGAGTAGAGACGTGCAGACCAGCCAGGGACAGGAGCGGCCTCTCTTCCTCCACCTTCAGAGGGCCTGGTTACCTAGGAAGAACCTGTCACACACTGCCAGACACGAAAGCACAGCACCTTATGATTCAATCAGGACACCCAACATCACAAACACTCCCTAGCCACAGAGTTGGGAGCGAGAGGATGCCGTGCAGGGCTCAGCCCTTCTTGCACTCCAGCAGCCCTGGGCCTTACCTCCACCTGATGCAGGGACTTGAATATTGATAGGTCAAATGGCAGGAACTGCTCCTGAATGTTGCTGGTCCCAAAAGGTCCTTCTGTGCCAGAAACCTGAGGCCAAAGATAAAGCTTGAATTGGGAACAGCGCTGCATACCCATCAGGCAGTGCTGCAGCAGCTGACAAGTCAAAGACAACTTTGACCACTCTGCCTTCAACAAAGCAGGCTCAGGCCAAGCTTTAATGTAACGGGACACTGGGTCACGACTGCCCCCTGGTGCCCACAGCCACAAGCACAGTGTCAAGAATAACCAGGCAGCCTTCCTTCCACCAAGTTTCCTATGGTCTCCTTCACACAAACTGCCAGCCAGTCCCCCGCAGCCTGCAACCCCAAATGAAGAGCTTTCCATGACTGAGCTGCTGCAGCTTTACCTTAAGGTACTTAAGGCGACAGGTGAAGTCCAGAATGTGCCCAAGGTCAGTCTTGGCATCCCCGCTGGCGCACGTTGGCTTTCCCTGCTGCAGCTGCTCTGTGACGGCATACAGCTGCAGAGGTCCAATGGCAAAGACCTCGCCGGCCCCCAGGAGCTGTTCTCCTGCAAGAGCCATGCCCTGAGGGATAAGTGTCCAGCCCCAGCCCCAGCCCTTGTGCAGACGGGACTGCCACATCTTTTCTGTCAACAAGCGGTTGGCAAGCACCCACTGTGTCAGGGCAAATCCATGGCCCTGAGCGTGCAGGAGCTGCTGCCCTTCTGGGTGCACGCTAGGCAAGGGGCAACCCTAGATAGGTAATGACAGAGGAGGGCAGGGCTGCGGGGCTGTGTGGCCACCAAGGAGTGAGGCTGAATCGAGGCCAAAGGCACTGAGCCAGAGTGAGGCTGCCGAGAGACAGCATTCTGGGTGACAGACCTATGCTGCCAGCCCAACGAAGAGCCTGGGAGCAGGATGGGTTCTAAGCCCGACTGGTGCTTGGTCCTGGCTCCATTCCCACCAGCCAAGTGCCCTCAGGGTGGTAACTGGGCCTCTGATCCTGTGTCCTTACCTATACCTGTGGCTCCTGGGGGAAGGCAGTAAGATGCTAACAGGAAGCATTCATCACACATTAGCTATTGTAACTGTGCTCTCTGGCAGGGATGGGGCCTAGGCTCAGCTTCTATCTGCCATCTGAGCCCTTTCAGGCAAGCACAAACCAGGTGTGACGGAGCTGCATGCTACCCACCTTCCAGCACCTACCACAGGACTCTGGAACACAGCCCAAGTCTAGGCTGAGCCCCTGACACAGGTACTCAAGAGTACTGACCACAGCTCCTCTGACCTGGCCACCTACAGGGCAGGCAGGTGGGCAGATTTGGCTATGAACAGGTCAATGGATCTGAGTAATTCTAAGGAGATGGGACCATACAAAGCTCCAGAATGACTTCTGTGTCACCCTGTGTGTCTGGTCACCTCATAAAACTATACAACTTATTCCCAGTATTTCAAGGACCTGTGGCCACATACCTTTCTCAAAGAGCTCTTCAGCCAGCGCCGCGGTGATGCCATTTATCTCCTGCAGAGAACACAAAGCCTGCCCTTAGAAAGTCCATCTGCTCCCAGTCCCTGGGATTTTCATATTCCCTACTATCTACTCTCTTTGTTGTAGCAGTGCCAGCTCTCTGGAAAGTTTAAAGAAAGAAAAGCATATGGCCAGGTGCAGTGGCTTACACCTGTAATCCCAGCACTTTGAGAGGCCGAGGTAGGCGGATCACGAGGTCAGGAGATCGAGACCAGCCTGGCTAACACGGTGAAACCCCATCTCTACTAAAATCACAAAAATTAGCCGGGCATGGTGGTGTGCACCTGTAATCCCAGCTACTCGGGAGGCTGAGGCAGGAGAATTGCTTGAACTCGGGAGGTGGAAATTGCAGTGAGCCAAGATCGCGCCACTGTACTCCAGCCTGGTGACAAAATGAGACTCCATCTCAAAAAAAAAAAAAAAAAAAAAAAAAAAAAAAAAACAGCATAAACCTACAACGGAGCAAGAAGCTTAGAAAGGGAAACTAAGGCTGGGCGCAGTGGCTCACACCTGTAATCCCAGCACTTTGGGAGATCGAGGCAGTCGGATCACGAGGTCAGGAGATAGAGACCCTCCTGGCTAACATGGTGAAACACCTCTCTACTAAAAATATAAAAAATTAGCCAGGTGTACTGGCATGCGCCTGTAGTCCCAGCTACTCAGGAGGCTGAGGCAGGAGAACTGCTTGAACCCCGAGACTCTGTCTCAAAAAAAAAAAAAGGGGGGGAAATTAAATATTCTAGTTATATGGATACCTGCAACATCTCCTCAAGGTGAAGGGAAATCAGCCTAATGCTATGACTCCAGTCCACAGGGCCAAGGGCAGTAGAGCTGCACTATGCTAAGGGCTTTTGGGAAGCCAGCAACTCCCAAAACTGGCTCTGGGTGTTCCTAGGAGAGGGTGTGGCAGAGAGGAAGTCAGTTTTTTTCTGGAAAAGAGGCTCCTATCACCCTGGTGGGATGAAGGACTGCCTAGAGCTAACTCTTCCTGGGAATGACCATTTCTACTTTCTCTCACGTTTCAAATGTATGTCAGGAAAAGAGTGAACATTTGTTTTCTTCTTGTGCTCATCTCTTCCAGATTCACAATAGTAACACTCAGCCCCGGGGTCACAAGAAGTGGAAAGAATTTCCTTTTTAAATTGATGCGATGACGAGGCCAAGCCTCCAGTCATACAAACAACACGCTGAGATCCTAATTCATACTGGGTCATAGCCTAAGCCACTAAAGGCTCCTGAATCCTCCCCAACGTTCTACAAGAGGAAAAAAGAAAACTTTTTTTTTTTTTTAAATAGAGACAGGGTCTTGCACTGTCACTCAGGCTGGAGTGAAATGGTATGACCATAGCGCACTGCAGCCTGGAACTCCCGGGCTCAAGTGATCCTCCTACCTCAACTTCCCAAGTAGCTGTGATTACAGGCATGTGCCACCATGCCTGGCTAATTCTTGTATTTTTAGCAGAGATGGGGTTTCACCATGTTAGCCAGGCTGATCTCAAACTCCTGACCTCAAGTGATCCCCCTGTCTCAGCCTCTCAGGGTGTTGGGATTACAGGCGTGAGCCACCATGCCCGGCCAACCCACTAATTTTTTTTTTTGGAGACGGAGTTTTGCTCTTGTTGCCCAGGTTGGAATGCAATAGCACAATCTTGGCTCATTGCAACCTTTATCTCCTGGGTTCAAGCAATTCTCCTGCCTCAGCCTCCCAAGTAGCTGAGATTACAGGTATACACCACCATGGCCAGCTAATTTTGTATTTTTAGTAGAGACAAGGTTTCTCCAAGTTGGTCAGGCTGGTCTTGAACTCTCGACCTCAGGTGATCTACCAACCTCAGCCTCCCAAAGTGCTGGGATTAAAGGCATGAGTCACCGTGCCCATCCCAACCCACTAATTTTTAAGAAAATATTTTGTAGAGACAGGGTCTCACCATGTTGCCCAAGATAGTCTTGAACTCTAGGCCTCAAGAGATCCTCCCACCTTGACCTCCCAAATTTTGGGGATTACAGGAGTGAACCACTGCACCCAGCTCTGGAAGCTTCTATCTTGAACCTTGTTTCACAAATGAATAAACTGAGGTGGACAAGTGCTAAGAATCTCAATTTTACATGGATAAAACCCAGCAAAGCCACTCTCAAGCCCTTGGCCTGGGCCTCTCTATATACAACCAGTTGCCTCAGCATTTCAGTGGTGTAATCGCAGGGTTGGCAGGGCCCCTCAAGGCCCTCAGCCCCCCACCCCCACATCCCATAGGTAAGAATTTTAACTCATCGACAGACGGCAGCCAACAGGCCTTTTTGTAAACAGCTCCAGATGGAGGCTGCATAATCCTCATAACTCACAGGAACATTGGGAACATCGCTTCCGCCAGGACAAGGGATTCACAGGACATGCAATTCATGTGTTTACGGGATTCTAAAGACACAGGAGACAGGGTGTCCTTTTCCTGCTTTTCTCTTTGGTTGTCTGTTTTTTATTTTTTATACATTGTGGCCATTTTAATGGTCATTTATATGTTGTAAATATTTCCTCCCAGTCTGTGTATACCTTTTACCTTTGTTCATGGTGCTTTTTCTGACAAGAGATTTTTCATTTTTACATTGTTTAACCTGTTTTTTTCTTTTTTTGAGACGGACTCTTGTTCTGTTGCCCAGGCTGAAGGGTAGCCATGCAATCTCAGCTCACTGCAACCTCCGCCTCCCAGGTTCAAGCCATTCTCCTGCCTCAGCCTCCCAAGTAGCTGGGAGTATAGGCACACATGACCACACCCTAATTTTCTGTATTAATAGTAGAGATGGGGTTTCACCATGTTAGCCAGGAGGGTCTCGATTTCCTGACCTCATGATCTGCCCACCATAGCCTCCCAAAGTGCTGGGATTACAGGCATGAGCCACTGTGCCCAGCCCTAATTTTTTTCCTTTATGACTTCTTGGGCCTCTTCTCTAACTCCAAGATTATAAAACTATTACCCTTATTTTATTTTGGTCCTTTATGGTATCTTTAAAAAATGTGTTTATTCATTTAATCTGCTTGAAATTCAGTTTGTATACAGTGTGAGAATAACCCCTCCCTGTACCCCCTGGACAAAAAGGGAGAAAATTAGCACACAGAGCCTCAGCTTTAAGGGACCCACGGGTGCAGGGCCAAATGGAAAAGGGCCGAGAGGGGCAGAGCAGGCTCAGAGCAGAACAGGGCTCCGGCTGGAAGTGAGGACAGAGGGGGCAGGTGTGCTCTGAAGTTCAACTTCAGTCTCCTGCAACTACTTAAACTCAATGACATTTTCTTTGGCAGCTGTGAAGAAGCGAAGATTAGGAAGAGCCTGGAATGATCCAAAGGCTTGTTTCTCCATGGATGGTTTGGAGAACCACGCCCTGTCTACAGATCTGCACTTCACAATCCTCCCTGCTGTCAGATCGCCTGGGGCTGAGCAGGTCCCAGGGGCTGCCAATCTCTGCCCACCTCAATTCCCCAAGAATAGCTCCAGGGCCTCTCAGGACACAAGGCTCTTACAGTTATCTAAGGGGAAAGGGTTCCTCACGATCAGTACTGAACAACCCTCACTTTCAACAGCACATTTCTTTTTCTTTTTTTTCTTTTTTTTTGAGATAGAGTCTCGCTCCATGCCCAGGGTGGAGTGCAGCGGAGCAATTTTGGCTCACTGCAGCCTCCACCTCTTGGGTTCCAATTCTCCTGCCTCAGCCTCCTGAGTAGCTGAGATTATAGGCCCCTGCGCCACTATGCCTGGCTAATTTTTGTATTTTTAGCAGAGACGAGTTTTACCATATTGGCCAGGCTGGTCTCAAACTCCTGACCCCAAGCGATCCGCCCGACTAGGCCTCCCAAAGTGCTAGGATTACAGGTGTGAGCCACTGTACCTACCCAATGGCACATTTCCTCAGGTAGCTGGTGTCAGTTCAGAAAGAGCACAGAGAAAAAAAATCACCCTGGGCTAGGCATATAGTCCCAGCTACTTGGGAGGCTGAGGCAAAAGGATCGCTTGAGCCCATAAGTTCAGAGTCAAGCCTGGGTAACATAGCAAGACTCTGTCTCTCAAAAAGGAAAAAGAAATCACCCTGGATGCCAGCCCCTCTAAGGGGATAGGGCTGGAATTGTGGAACACACAGAAAATTTAGAGTATAAGGGCCACTGGCTCCTACAAAGCAAAAAGAAAGCTTTCTCTTCTAAGGAATCTCAAAGCAATATGTGTAACAATTTTGCTGTTTAGGGTACAGGAAGTACATACTCTGCAACACTTTCTACTTGGTTTTCCAGGCTGTCCTTCACCTTGGGATGGAGACTGAACCAGAGAAGAACACAGAAATGCCTCAGCCCCCAAATTAGCACACAGGCCTCCTCAGAGGGCTCCCTGGTCAAATGGTGGGCTTATGAGTAAAGGTGGTAGGAGTCAGTCGTCCCCATGCCAGGAGGAGGCTGGTGGGGTGTCAGTGGCCAGAGCCAACATGCCCTACCCCATCTGTGCTGAAGGGACTTGAATTGCTTTGGGGTGCCATAAATGTATGAATTGAAATGTATTTCTTTAAAGGGCATTCTTGGCTGGGCACGATGGCTCATGCCTGTAATCCCAGCCCTTTGGGAGGCCGAGGCAAGCAGATCACTTGAATTCAGGAGTTCAAGACCAGCCTGGCCAACCTGGTGAAACCTCATCTCTACTAAAAATACAAAAAATAGCGGGGCATGGTGGCACACACCTACACTCTCAGCTACTCTAGAGGCTGAGGCAGGACAAGAGCTTGAACTCTGGAGGCGGAAGCTGCAGTGAGCTAAGATTGTGCTATTGGGCTCCAGCCTGGGTGACAGGGTGAGATTTTGTCTCAAAAAAATAAGAAAGAGGGAGGGAGGGAGGAAGGAAGGAAGGAGAAAAGGAAAGGAAGAAGGAAGGAAAGAAAGGGAGGAAGGAAGGAAGGACGGACAGATGGACAGATGGATGGACGGACATTCTATTCTTTATACCTCAATGTAAGTTTTTCAATTAAAA